TCAAAACCCAACTGAAGTAAGAAAACAAAGCAATTATCTTTTTTTTGTTAATTCTAGGAATAAAACAAAGACAATTGTATTCCTAGCATGTTTAGAATAAAAACATTCGGTCCGTGGTGGATCTCCATGTTGATCCCAATTTAAAAATATTTTATTGCAATTTTGAAAAGATAAATGTGCCAAAGAACCATATGCAAAAAGAACTTAAAACCACAATATCCTACAAATTAATTAAGTATGAACTTGTAATGGAGTCCCATCTTGTTGAGGACAAGATTCTTGGAAGTGCTTGGTATGAGGTTATACGGGGATGGCCTTGAGAGCAATAACTTCTGAAACCATTACAAAAGCATCAAGGGCAGAACCATTGCTTAAGCTTTGGGGAAACAGATAGGAAAGGAACTAGGAGACTCGTTCCTGACTTACTGGGATGTAGGATAGGAAGGAAAATTAAAACACAAGGAAGACCTACAAGATCCTATGAATCAGTGGTAGGATTCGATTTTTTTTATTATTATTACCGGTACCGTGGGTGTGGCTTGGTGGGTGTGGCAGGGGAAGCATACTGTAAAATCTCCAGTCAGAGGTGGCATTTGCCAGTTCTCTGAACTACTCAAAATTTCTGTTCCCGGTTCTCCAGAACTGATCAGAACCTGCTGAATACCACCTCTGCTATGAATAGAGCCTACCACAATATAGTTTTAGTCTTCCTGTGGAGTCAGTTTCAATTTCCAGACAAGGTTTGAAAGACTCATATTGACCAGAACTTCCTCTTATGGCAAGATGGAAAAGACAGAGTGGAAGCTGAATCAATTAGACTCTTCCTTCTTTAAAGTATGGCCATTATATCTGCTGCCATATCTAAATTGTTTACATAGAAATGATGGGAAAATGTGGGTTAGACAGCATCACCACCAGATGGATTTGTAATTGGCTGACCAATCACACGCAATGTGTACTGTACTCCTTAATGGAAATGCATCTACACGGAGGGAAGTGAGTAGTGGGGTATCCCAAGGCTCTTTCTTAGGCCTAGTCTTCTTCAAAATCTTGACCAATGACTTAGATGAAAGGATAGAAGGGGAACTCATAAAATTTACAGCTAACATCAAGCTGGCAGGAATAGCCAATACTCCAGAATATAGACTCAATATACAGAAGAAACCTGACAGGCTTGAATACTGGGCCCTATTCTAATAAAATGAAATTCAATGTAGAGAAAAGTAAGGTTTTACATTTAGGCATGAAGAAACCAAATGCACAATTATAGAATAGGTGGTACCTGGCTCAACAGTAGTAACTGTGAGAGGGATCTTGGATTCCTAGTGGACAATCGCCTAAATATGAGCAGTGGAAGTTTTGTGCTGCCAACTCAGTCCTAGGCTGAGGATAAAATCAACATCATGTGAAGTATTAATAACACTTTATAATGCCTTGGTAAGACCACACTTAGAATATTGCATCCAGTTTTGGTTGCCATAATATAAAAAAGATGTTGAGACTCCAGAAAGAGTGCAGGGAAGAGCAACAAGGATGAAGACTAAAACATATGAAGAATAGTTGCAGGAATTCGGTATGTCTAGTATAATAAAAAGAAGGACTAGGGTGATATGACAGTGTTCCAATGTCTAAGGGGCTGTCACAAAGAAGAGGAGATCAACCTATTCTCCAAAGCACCTCAAGGCGGGACAAGAAGCAATGGATGAAAACTAATCAAGAAGAAAAGCAACTTAGAATTAAACAGAAATTTCCTGACAGTTAGAACAATTCCACAATCAGTGGAAGGACTTGCATGCAGAAATTGTAGGTGCTCTAACACTGAAGGTTTTTAAGAAGAGATAGGACAACCATTTGTCTGAAATGATATAGGACACGCCCACAGACCGAGTAGTAAAATAATTTGAATCTCACCACTACTCCAAGGTCCCTTCCAACTCTATCATGTTGCTATTCTACTGTTTCTATTTACAAGTATACTTTAGGAACATTATTGTTCTGAAAGATATGATACAAATAATGGTAAAGAGGAGAAGAAAGGAGAGGAGAGGAGAGATATTTTTATTACAGAGGATCCTACCGATGCTAATCTTGACTGATTTTAACATCATCTACCATTTATAATTGTTTAAAAGATAAATGCATATAATAGGAAAAAAAGAAAGAAACCAAGTGGGAAAAGAAGAAAAATAAAAACCAATAAAACACTCTTAGGGGGGAAAAACAAGTAAAACATTACTGGAAAACTATTTGATTTCAAATTCCCTCCCATTGTATTCCAACTAAAACTTCCACTAGACATATTTCTAAGCATTGAAATTATCCTTGACTACAGTAAGTTATTTTGCCCTTAAAAACAGTGTCTAAATTTGCCTTGTGTGATCTATGACAGCTAGGGGAGCCATTCTTGCTTAAATTTGGCATCTCTTTTTGAATGTGGGCTGTTACTCTTGTTATTGCTGCATATTCCTCAGGTTTGGTTTCTGGCCTGACATCATCGGAAAATGTCTCTTTTCTAATACTGAGTCAATTTGACAGTATCAAATTTTAGGGTCAAATGTAGAATATACTCTCCCTACAGCCAACTCTGCGGCCTCTGGTTGAAATAACATATCAAGTACTTGAACCAGTGATGGTATTCAAATTCTTTTATTACTGGTTCTGTGGGTATGGCTTGGTGGGCATGGTGTGGCTTGCTGGGTGTGGCTTGGTGAGCATAGCAGGGGAGGATATTGTAAAATCCCCATTTCCACCCCACTCCAAGGGAAGGATTCTGTAAAATCCCCATTCCCTCCCCACCCCACTAACCTGCTTTCCAGCTCCATTCTCCTGTGCAGGGCAACAAAAGAAGACCCAGACGATCAGCTGGGACTCAAGAGGCAGAGAATAGATGGGGGCGGGGACAGTCAGAGGTGGTATTTGCTGGTTCTGCGAACTACTCAAAATTTCCGCTACTCCAGAACCTGTCAAAACTGTCTGAATACCACCTCTGACTTGAACCAATGACAGTGACAACTCATTTATTCATAAGAATAATGAAGATTCAACCTGGAATACTTAGCTTGTAACAATGTCTTGGAAGGGTTAAAGTAAAAAAGAATGGATGCAGGGGCTTTAAAAAGAAGTCAAAGAAACTAGTTGAAGAGTATCAATTAGACTGACAGGCTGAATTGTTGCTTTTGGTTGCTCTGCCCAGCGCATTGTGTTGAACATGTGATTTCTGAATGTTTCATTAAAAGCAAACCAAAGCATCTCACCATGCTATGCATGTGGCCATGTGATGGATGGATGGATAGATAGATAGATAGATGATAGATAGATAGATAGATAGATAGATAGATAGATAGATAGATAGATAGATAGATAGATAGATAGATAGACAGACAGATAGATCGGTAGATAGAGAGATATAGAGAGATATAGAGAGATAGAGATAGAGATATGTAGATATAGATAGATATAGAGAGAGATAGAGTTAGAGTTAGAGATAGAGAAAGATATAGCTTTAAGAAGTTTTTTGCAGGTTGGTTGCATAAAAAGTAACTCTGCATTACAAATTGCCAACCATAAAACCGAATCCTTCCGTGGAAAGCTTTGATGGGAATCACAGTGAATGATCATTCTTTTTTATTGTAGATAAATACTGAGATGATTTTAACTCTTGCTTTCTAAAGCAGGCCAGGTGCAAAGAAACACAAATTCCCAGACTTGAAAGCCTAATTGCTGTTCTGCCCAGGGAAATAAAAGTAAGGGAAGCACTTAAGAGGAGGAAAATGTAGATCTGTTTAAATGACTCAGTGTTTAATTGAAGTAATGACTATGTGAACAACACTGATCACATTGGAAATCAATATTATAAACTTGGAATCTTTATGTTTACTTTATGGCTAATCCAGTCATTACGGCAGACATCTAAACCAAACACTGCAGCTGTACCATGTTTAATTCATCAATATGTTCGCTCAAGACTGACTGCTTCTCTGTTAGCACTACATAATTTTAGCAGCTGCCAAACTCCAGTCTGTAGCATTCCAGTTTTGTGAAGAACTATTAAATATCCTTTTTTAGGTTGGCAAGTAAAGCCACTTCTGTTTTTTTGATAAGAAAATGGAATATGAAAACAAACAAATCAACACAAACATTCTCAGTTGCTAGCAAAAGATTTGACAAATTAGTATGGTTTCTTAGCAGTTTTGACCAGCTTCCTGTAGCTTATTGTCTTCCACAGGAACATATTTGGAGGCCAGCAGGTTGAGGAAGGCTGGTCATAGCCTATATGCCTACTGGTCTAGGACAACTCACCACAGCCAACTCACCATGGCCAACTCACTACACAATTCACCATGGTCAACTTGCAGTCGGATCACTCCAGGAGTGGGCTTCAAAACTTTTAGGAAAGGATTCTCTTCCCAGTTGCTAGGTGGGTGTGGCCATGGTGGACATGGCCTAGTCGGCCTCCTGCACCACGATGGGCTGGTGGTGCGTTTTTGCCCTCCCCAGGCTCCTGAGGATTTTCCTGAACCTCCGGGAGGGCAAAAACATTTCCGGCCTTCTCAAACTTCCGGGAGGCCCATTTTTCACCCTCTCTGAGCCTCCGTGCACGCCCTGCACTCACCTGCATCCAAAACAGGCCGTGTAGGGACTCCTGAGAGGGGAAGGGGTGGGCAGGGTGGGGCCAGCCAGGAGTGGGATTTGGGGGTTCTCCGAACTGCACAGAATCTTAGCTAGGAGCTCTCCTGAACCCCTGTGAACCCCCAGCAGCCCAGCCCTGCATAACTCACTGCAGCACAAGAGTTACACCAATATCAAAGAAAGGGTGGAATAGAATCATTAAAGAAAGGATGTAAATGGAGGGACAAAATGAAATGTGAATGACAAAAAATATAACATTTTTTATTTATTTTAAATAATTAAATGGCATTGTTCAATTGTTCTCCCTCTCTCTCTCTCTCTCTCTCTCTCTCTCTCTCATACACCCCCACCCCCACACCCCCATGGAGCACTTTTGTAGCTTAACAGACATGCATTTTGAAGCAGCTTCTTTAAATTTCTCCAAGGCTGGAGTGGATTCCCCCACCCCTCTCTGTCAGACTGCACTCCTTCTCAATCCAGGGACTTTAACTCACAAGGGGAAAGCAATACCTGCAGAGTCCATGGGGAATTCTTGGAGAAGTTTTTAAAGGACCTGCTTCCAAAATGCATTTCTTTTACGTTGCAAAAGTGCTCCAAGGCTCGATTCACCCCCACCCCCTCTGACAGCCTGCACCCCTTCTCATTCCAGGCACTTTAACTTACACAGGAAAAGTGATACTTGCAGCGTCCATGCCTTTCTTCCTCCCCCACCCCTCGGGGAGAAAGAGGACATGGGGAACCGAAAGCTAGGAGAGCAATCGGGGCAAGTGAGTGACCAGGCGACCGGGTTGGGGGCATGGCCAGCCAGGGGTCACCATCGGTTCGGTGACCCATGCCAAATAACCGCTACCAGTTCACCCGAATAGCTGCGAACCAGTTGAATAGCACCTCTGAAGCACACCCATCATTGCTTGTGTTTGCATTTCAGTACTATACAGTACTATAGTACTATAATGTTCAGCTGATGTTCAAGGACAGCCTCATATAGAGCACATTGCAGTAATCCAAGCAGGAGGAGACCAAAGCATGACTGACTGTGGTCAGTGCTGCCTGATCTAGAAAAGGGTACAAGTGGCATACAACCTGAAGTTCTAGAAAGTCTCCTGGTCATGGATGCCATTCCTTGAGCAGGAGAGATGAATCCATGAGAACCCCCAAAATGGTGCACCAGGTCTATCTAAGACAGGGTAAGCCATTTAGAGTTAAGGATAGAAAATCACTGGGTCCAAGGAGCCCCCCCAAAGCCAGAACTATTCTATCTTGCTAGGGTTGTATTGAAGGCAGTCCTTCACCATGGAGACCCCATAGCCTTCAAACCCAGGACAGGTTCTCCCCATCATTGTTGGCTGGCCTGGGCAGAGATTTATAGCTTAGCATGATCGGCATACTGATGATACAGTAACTCACCCCCTGCTGGAAATTTTATATGGATTATTTTTTTTGGCTGAAAGATGAAAGAACTGAAATGATGATTTATGGATTTGAAGATTCAGAAAGACATGGATTATATGAGGCGCTGAAGGGACTTGTATAACATTGAAGAAGGAGGAGGGACAGTGAGATTGTACTGTAACTATCTATTAAAAGAAGATCAGAAGTCATTCGTGTATTTTTTAATTTTAATTTTTTTCTCTCTCACTTGCACTTGCATGCTCTTATTTGTCTCTTTTCTTTTTTTTCCTCTTCATTTATTCTTTAATAACAATCTTAATAAAGTTTAACTTTTTAAAAAGAATATCTCACCCCATGCTATTGAATGACCTTCCCCAGAAGTTTCATACACATGTAAATGGGAGTGGGGAGAACAATGAGCCCTGAAATACCCCACAAGCAGAAATGGTATTCAGCAGGTTCTAACCAGTTCTGGAGAACCAGTAGTGGAAATTTTGAATGGTTTGGAGAACCGGCAAATACCACTTCTGATTGGCCCCACTCCCATCTATTCTCTACCTCCCGAGTCCCAGCTAATCAGCTGGGTCTTCTTTTGTTGCTCTGCACAGAAGAACAAAGCTGGAAAGCAGGTTTGTGGGGCGGGGAGGGAATGGGGATTTTGCAGTATGCTTTCCCTGCCAGGGCCACCAAGCCATGCCCACCAAGCCATGCCACACCCAGCATCTGTAACTTGTCCTGAAGCATAACAAGATGATGGAATGGAAAAGTGCTGAACGGTTAAGATATTTGCCCGCCAGCGATCATCCAGAATCACAGTTAGTGTTATTTCAGCCTTGTGCCTAGTTATGAAACTCATACTTCACCTAAAGCTAGTAAAATGCCCTAACATTAATACTGAAACAAGATGAACATTTAAAAGTGTTAGGAATCTGTCCACCAATTAGTTGGGTTGGCAATATATAAACCAACAATGTATGTTTGTAGCTTTAAGACAAAATCACTGTATTGATTTATACTATATTCTGATTGGTTGATTATATTACAAATTACTATAAGAGGGAGCTAGAGATCATAGCTTGTTCTCTCTGACATTCTGTCTCTCTGACATTCTGTTGCTATCTAAGGTTCTCTGTTGTATTTATGCTGTGCTTATACTTTGATATCTTTGTTTATTGTAAATGACAAAGGCAACAGGTAAGAAGACTTTGTAATTGGATATTCTTTGGACTGTTAAACGCATATGACCTGGACCGTTTATTGGACTGTGCTATTTCTTAAAGTAAACTTTAACTCAATTTAGTGTATCTGTGTGTGGCTGAATAATTATTCATAACTATTCTCATAAACATTTCCATGAGCATATCCTTGTTACTCAAGGGTTATTCTGTACATATCATAACAAGAAGCTGCCTTTCCTGATACACAAGGACATGCAGAAAGCTGGTTATATTCACCCAGTTTGTGCTATCACCTGAGGTTATCCCAAAGGTGCTTTTTCAAAAGGCAACTGGACTTTTTTCCTTGAAGACGTTTCACTTCTCATCTAAGAAGCTTCTTTGGTTCTGTTCAGTTTTCTTCAGAACTGAAGAAGCTTCTTGGATGAGAACCAAAACATCTTTAAGGAAAAATAAAGTCCAGTTGCCTTTTGAAAAAGCACCTTTGGGATGATCATGATCTGGATGACCGAGAATCTCCATAGACAATCCCCCTGAGGTGTTTTTAAATAGTATCAGCATAGCACATAGTAGCCTGCCTTTATTTATTTCCCAGCTAGGCAGGGGCTGGCTAGAGTCCCTTCTTTACTTTTCCTTGAGAGCCGGCTGATTATTTTCCTTTGCTCTTCTCTCGTTTCTTCTCTGCGCATACACGCATCTGGGATGGGCCCCACCTGTTCCTCCCTCTCACTCAGCTCCGGCCCCAAAGACAGCTGCCTCTCCACCTGGGGGAGGAAAGAAGGCCCTGGCTCTTCCTCTACCTCTGATGCTGTTTCCTTATCAGAGCCTTCCAAAGGCTCCGAAGTTGGCCCAGGCTCTCCCTCAACCTCCTCCTCATCTGACTCTCCTGTTAGCTCTGCTGGCAGCCAATGGGCCACAACAGCCAATCATAAAGAGAGATCATGCATGTTTAGTTAATGAACGGTTTTAGCCATTAGATCTTTTTCCAAATCAAGACAAGGGATGAGACCACATGAGACAAGGACAAAGAAATGCTTGACAGGAACACAAAGATTACATTTGATTTAATTTAAATGTATATATTCTTAAAGGAATTAAAAAACACCAGGACCAAGTTGGAAACCACTTGCAGAGTTTCCTTTGCTAATATAATTCTACCTTAGATTTCATTAAAATTGTAATCTATTGTCAATTTTTTAAAAAAGTAACCTTGAAACTCGTGTGTGAACTTGAGATCATAGCTCTGCAGTTCTGTTCTAGAGGGCACCAAACTTAATCCAGCACACAGGAGTTAAGCCTTTACCAGCTTAATTTTGTGTGTGTGTGAGAGAGATGTAAACAAATAATTGTCTCTTGTGTCTTCTTTTTCGTCATGAATTTGTCACATCTCTGTGAATGCACATTAATGCACAGTTATGCAGCCTTTACCTTAAAGAAAATGCTGTAATGTAGCTTAAGTGATGAGCTCTGGAATTATTTCCCACGAAATAATGATCTTTCATTTATTTAGCAAACAGCAAACATATGCCCATTGCACTATAAGATCCTTCTACTGTGTATAAAAAGAACACCTAATTATTCAATAAGATTACTTCTTCAGCTTCAGGAACTTTGCTTTCATTTCTCAAATGAGTAAGGAAAAGCAGAGGTGATATGAAAGCACACACATCATAATTAAAAAGAAACTAGTTTCACATTTGTCAGAAATCTTTTGATTCTGAAGCAAGCTATTCTCCATTGATGGGTCTTGAGGACAGCACCCAGGATCTAAGAGTGGATTGGGGTGGTTGGTCCCAACTGGTTTTATATATAATGTTTCCCATAGAGTAATTTCTGACATAATGATGGCCTGTTCTTAGTACTGGGCTGTGACATATTATTATAAATACAATATTTAGAATTGGCATACAGAAGGTTGCTTGCAGATGACAGGGCACAAGCACATACACTCACATCCTTACCCTAATCAAGAGTCTGCTTTAAGATGGCCAAGGCAATCCTAAGTTGCAGAAATAGTAATATAATTAGGACTGCAGAAAAAACAATTACTACCAACCTGCCTTCAATCGAGGACCTGTACACTGCATGAGTCAAAAAGAGGGCTGTGAAAATATTTACAGAACCCTCACATCCTGGACTGTTGATACATAAACTGTATCAACTCCTACCCTCAAAATGATGCTATAGAGCACTGCACACGGAACAACTAGACACAAGGACAGTTTTTTCCCAAATGCTATCACTCTGCTAAACAAATAATTCCCTCAACACTGTCCAACTATTTACAAAGTCTGCATTACTATTACTATTAATCGTCTCATCACTCTTTATCGCCCATCCCCTTCCATTTGTGACTGTATGATTGTAACTTTGTCGCTTGTATCCTGATGATTTATATTGACTGTTTCCTAGTATGATTTGATTGCTTATTGTACCCTATGACCATCACTAAGTGTTGTACCTGATGATTTTGACTCTTGATGAATGTATCCTTTCTTTTATGTACACTGAGAGCATTTGCATCAAGACAAATTCCTTGTGTGTCCAATCACACTTGACCAATAAAGAATTCTACTTCTATTCTATTCTAGAAGGATAGAATCAAGATCACATGAAATACTAGTACCACTTTATAAAGCCTTAGTAAGGCCACACTTAGAAAACTGCATTCAGTTTTGGCCACCATATTACAAAAAGATGTTGAGACTCCAGAAAGAGTGCAGAAAAGGGCAACAAAGATGATTAGAGGGCCATTCATAAAACATATGAAGAATGGTTGCAGGAATTGGATATTTCTTGTTTAGTAAAAAGGACTAGGTGTGACATGATAGCACTGTTCCAATATTTGAAGGCCGCCTCAAAGAAGAGGGGGTCAATCAATTTTCCAAAACACCTGAAGACAAGACAAGAAATATTGGATGGAAACTAATCAAGAAGAGAAGCAACCTAGAGCTAAG